GCATTCATGAGGCCAGTCTCACGGCCACCAGGCCTGTGGTTGGGAGTGTGACAGTGGCAAGGAGGACGACGTCCCCACTCTGACTGCTGCTGCACCTACTGAGGGACACTGTTGTCTGAGACCAGCCAGGGGGCTCCCTGACGGGAAGCAGGGTGCTTTCCCCCCTCACCAGGCAGGCTGCCTTTGCTGTTCTAGGTCATCTGTGGCCCCCTGTGTTCCAAAGCTGTTCCCCTTGCTACACACTCCATCAGAGACCTCACTGCCGGGACGCAAGGCCACGGAGGCATGCCAATCGGTGCCGGGCACTCCTCCTCCCCACCCTCCTAGGGGAGCGGGCATTGTGAAAGGCCCGAGTGAGTGTGGGCAGAGCCGGGGAAAGCCTTGGGCTCCCTCCCTCTGCCGGGGAAAGCCTTGGGCTCCCTCCCCCTGCCACCACCACAGCGCCTAGCCACACTCGGTCACTCTCACGCTGACGGGCAAGGCCCGAGAGCTGGTCATTGGCGATGCGAGAGCCACCTTATTGAAATAGAATGTTTGCATTTAAACAATATTAATACTATTTGACTCATTAAATATACAAAGGCCGGTCAAAGTGCTTCCATGTGTGTGCTGTTAGTTCTGGCGTGCGACCCCTCAGATGGCTTCATGTGGTTTCAGACAACATTTTAGCACATTCTTAAAATACCCACAAAAGCCTTTATGTAAAAACTCATAAACGTGAGCCACATAAAAATTATTTTTTTCCTGTTTCATGTCATTATGATCAAAGTACGGTAGGTAAGAATAAATTTTCAAAAACTTGTCGAGGTCCCTCTTTAATGAAGGCTTAACTCGCAGAACTGAGCCATAAACCATGGTACTGGAAGGGCAGCCGCCTCGCACCGTCACCTCGCTGGCCTGTCCATCCATCTCCTGTACAGCTCTGCCGAGCACACGGGCCAGCAGGACCAGCGTGTCTGGGGGGCTGGCTAACCAGACCCCTCCTAGCGAGCCTTCAACCTTCTGCCCCCTTTGCCTTGGAACCTCGGGGTGAAACTTGGCTCAGATCCCCGGAGATGCCGGCTGGTGAGTGGAGGCCAGCCAGTGGGGCTGGAGCTGTACCTGCAGAGGCCAGGTTCCTGCACGTCTGCCTCACCTCCACAGGGGAGGGAGGCCGTGATTCAAGTGGGGGATAGCGCAGGGGTGGGGTGAAAGCGGGGGAGCAGCAGCATCACCTCTGTCGCTGCCAACAGCACTTCTTTGTTAAAAGTCACATGGACTAGACATTAGGATGCTAACAGGGCAGTGCTGTGCCCTCTATGAACAGCCCGGACGGAGATCGTGCGGTTCCCGGGGAAAGTGCTTACAAGCCCGGGCCGGGCAAAAGAAACGGGGCTGGTGACTGGTGCTGAGCTTGCAGTTATGTAAGATTCTGCATCTCTGCAGAGACTGGAACGGCATGTGGGAAAATCAGGTTGTAGGATAAGTTAATTGATGGTATTGTGGACTAATTTTTAAGTTCCTCTTTTATATGCGGCACTTGTAATATTTGGGGGGAGGTGGGGAAAGTAGTTGCCCACCTGGAAGTCAGGTTTTCAACCTCATTTGTCTCCCGTATCTGGAAACCCTGGGCTGGG